GATATTTTAAATAAGCTATAAGAAATTAAAGTTTTTTAAAACTAAAATAATTTTTTAAAATATTAACAAGATAAACATAAGAAAAAGGATTATATTATTTCTAACAAAATTTCAAATTATATCAATCACAATTACCTGTTCTTGATAACTTTGCAGGTGGTAATAATGGTTTTGGTAAATCACAATTATATGGAAAGTCTTGATAGAGTCCCATAGCACTCTCCTCATCCCAGTTCTCAATACATGGCGTTTTGTTTAAATTATAACCCGGCATTATATGATGTGGATAATTTTTCAAAAATGCATTACTCATTTTATTCAGCAAACAGTTTTCAGCATGTTTAAATGCCTTTGACTTCAATTCTTGTTCCCTCATGGCTCAATCGAGTCTGATACTTTAAAGAATTAAACATATACAGTTTTGTGCTTGTAATTCTTTCTATTCAAGAAATAAAAAAATGTTTAATTAAAAAATATAAAAGAATGTTAAATAAATAAATAATTCTTTCTTTATATCAACATATTTAATTATTATGTTACGATAACATTATTTTTGCAGCGTGAGATATTTATCACAAGCTATAATGAGTACAAACAAAACATTTATTTGAAAAGAAATCTACAATTTACTTGTATAACTGATCTGTTTTTTTGTAACTGAGCTAATGTATTACACTATAGTCATTGTATTTAAAACAAAATAGTATATTGGAAGTTTGACAAAAATAAGATAGAAAGTTTTAATACAATCCATGCAGGAATAGAAAAACAAACCTAATATAACCTAATATTACGCAAAAAGAAATCTCGGAACCACCACGTGCGGATCTTTGATACTACTGTAGTTTACTGTCATAATCTCCCATATGTTATTGTCAATACTGGTTACACTATTAAGAAGACATTGACAATACCGACCACAATCACTACGTATTCTATCTATCCGATAGATGACGCACGCGTACGTTTTCGGTGGCGGCATTCGACCCTCAAAGCGCTTGTACTACACGTGTTTCACATCTTTTTTATCGAGGCAAAAAAGTGTGAACATGTAAACAAAAAATGTGAGGGGAGTTTTTTCACAATTTTTTTAATAGGGTGCACCTGCGGATATTTAAAAGGCTGTAACTTTTTAAAAAATAGACGTAGAGACATAGGACAAAGACGGATCTTCTTCATTTTGCATTCCGCAAATGTTTATGTTAAATACATATATTCTTATCATGACGACACATATCATGTGTATATACAAGATGAATATGCCAGAATAAAATATAAAATATCTCGTAAATTATTGATTTTTTGACACTTGTACCTCAACACTTTTTTATTTAAAATAATTAGGGGAATCATATTGCATAATAAAAATATTATTTTTTCTCATTCGAATTTTCATAGCGTTGCTATCTATTCGCGAATTTTAATGCATTTTCTCGGATAAGTAAAAATATAGCGAATAGTCTACCTAATCGAATTCCTGTTTTGTGCTGACTAATCCAGCAGAGTTCATAACCCGCGATCGTGCGATAATAAGTGTTCAGAAAAGAAGTTGAATATTTAGAAATCTATGTTGAAAACATTGATGGCGTTCCTCTCCCCCCTCCCTCCATAATTACGTGCAATCGCACGTATATATAAAAATCTTTAACAATCATTTACTCATTTTGATTAATATGTTATTGACTAATCTTTTCTGATTCTTCAAGCCAGATTGAACCTACCTTTCGTTGCTCCTGACCACGTTGCTCCATCATCGACTCTGATCTTATAGTCAAAGATTCTGGTTACATATAACCAGAAATAATAGGAGATATATTCCTTCAATTACCGACTAATTATTAATTATTATTAATGTTGACAGATTTTTTGCTCGATTTTTACACGTGCACGTTGATGATATAATCCATCGCGGGGGCCATTCAAACAATTAATAAAATATAAAATTTGTGATAATAGTTTTTAAAATTAATTTATTAATAATAAATCGCATTTTTGTGCAACGCGTGTAATTAATCTTTGAGTCAAAGTAAAGAAATTCGATTATATATCGATTATATATATGAATCGAATTTTTAAAAAAATCGAATGATAAATATTTTGCATAAAAAATATTTTGCATAAAAATGAAAATAAAAATAATTGTAATGTGTACATAATGAATAATATAATGTACATAATAAATAATATAAACTCGAAAATCTAAGGCCGTATTATTTGATCAAAACTGTTATTTAAATCTTACTGTGATTCAGATAAGAATGCCGTAAAAGATTCAAAATGAATGACGTGAGATATAAACTAGATAATAAATTTCTCGCACAATCAGCATGTCGGATATTACGGAATATACAATTTTACAATTTATTATATCAATGTAAACTCTAAATATTAGATATTGTATACGAATCTATATAATTTATCAAATATAATAATATAGACAATAAAAAGTTTAATAAACAAGATAAATCATAAAATCTAATATAATACATTAACAATACTTGTTTTAAGTCAGAATTCAGATTAAAGATAAATTTTTAATATAAAACGAATATTTTAAATTAAAGTAAATTAATAATTTATGACTGTATTTCGCATCGAAACATTTACTGAATCTTATACGTATTAAATTTTGCTTTAACTTGTGTAAAGCCGATCATGAATAAATATATGCATAAGTTATACATGATTGGGAAAAATCGATAACGTATTTATTATGTAATTCATACTACTTTTTATTATTCGTCCACTTTTATTTATGATATATATTATTAAAAAATTTCTAAATACATATATCTTTCATGCATCGATTTAGATATTTAATCCTGATAAAATTTAGGAAGAGGAAAGATAGGTAAATAAAAAACACACATAAATGTATATTTTTATTATATAAATATAAAATGTGAATACTTCTTTGTAATTTTTATTCCCGTTTTTATTGAGTTTTAATAATATTTATTTCTGTTTTATATATCATAAAAAGATTTGAACGAAAACTAAAATATTTTTGAAAAATATTAATTTAATATAAATTTTTGCACTATTTATATTATTGTTTAAGTATTTATTTTAAAACATCGAAAATTAAATTAATTTAATAAACTTTATATATTAATAGACTTTCAATAAAAATTTAATAAATTCAACATTATTATTTTTAAATTGTCTGTATTATTTTATATAATATATGTGTACGTATATTTAATTTTTTAAAACATTTAAATTATTTTTATATCTTCTTACAAGATAATTTGATAACTTTTAAATAACTAATATAGATATTTCATTTGAAATGCGAAAGAGAATAATAAAATAATAAAATAATAAAGCATCGATATAATGAACTCTCTTTCATGAACTTTATGTATCTGAATGTGTCTATAAGTACATTTCAATATAATAAATTAATAAATACCAGGACTAAATATACATCCCAAACTGTTTAAGCCTATCCATTTTAGGGCAACGAATCTGTGAAGATATCCGATTGCAATACTTTTATCATAAATATACTGAATAACTAATTTAGGTCACAGATTTGTTACCCCAAGAAAAAAAAATTCGTTACTCACCAATCCGATGAACAACAACGGAGTGAATCTGTCATGTAGTTGCGATTCTGTAACACACAAACAGAACATTCAAATTATAACAGTGCTCTAAATGATAGGTATTTTAAAAAGTAATTTTTATGTATAGTGAGTCTACATAATTGTTTTTTAATTAAATATTCTCATAAAAATATTTATATAATTTTCAAAAAAAATAATTATAGAAATGAAAGATATAAAATTATAACTTGTTTTTCTTTTCCAAGCTATTTACAAACTTACAAATTGTAAATTATCGAAATTTATAATCCATTTAAATAATCCAAAAAATATAAAATCAATTAATTTTATATTTATAAAAAATAGATATTTACCATAAAATTGCTCCGCCGATGTCTCTCCTCTCAGGATGTTAGATCGTCAGATTTCCTCGTGGCACAGGACACTCGCGAAATAAACACTTGCGAATAATCGCGCGTGGACTGATTTTAAATCAAAGTCTTTCGATACTTACGGTACTCCGCGTTTTTTACCCGTGAAAATATTAAGTTCAGTCCAATCCAATCATTTATGACACTCCCAAAATAAACGTGCGGCGCGACGAATTGACTGCAGTTCGTTCATTTACTTAAAAATCGCCGGCGGAAAAATGACGATTGATTAAAAACTGACCGATTAACGCGTGAAACGCATTTGCCACAGAAGAGCCATTGAACGATTCGAATGCTGTGTTAATACATTATTAATAACATTAGTATTATCTAATATTAACATTATTAATAACGGTGCAATGGGTACTGTTGGCTTCTTCGTCTTTGGGGCATGGAACCCCTCGGAATACTAAGCCTCTCTGCCGCATCAAGGCTGTACCCTTTAGAAGGGTTATCATTTACAAAAGTCAAAGGAATAAGTCGCGCGACATGTAGTATATATATATATATATATATATATATATATATACTCTATTAAAAAGTCGTTGTTTCAATACGTTGAATCAATCGTTAATAAATCGTTAATAAGCATTTACTATTATATATTCATATAATACAGCAACGTTCGGTCAACATTCGTATCATTTAACAATGAAAAAATGTAAAGAAACGCGGAGCGACGCGCTTTGCTACCTGCCCGTACGAATACCAGTTAAAGAATGGACGTAGAGTGCTCGTAAACACGATACGCGCTGCGCGGTATACACACGGCATGTAAACAATGTTCAAGGCTACGATACCTATAATGTGTGTAAAACGAAATATTCAACAATATAAAGAATAATACTAATACAAGGCGCTATAGTATCTTTTGATAATTTAACATTAAATATTGAAATCATTAAATATTGTATGTACGCTTGAAATACTTTCTGAATAATCGCGCATTTGCTATTTTATTTAACAGATTTGTTACGATCAAAGATAGAGGTGGATATCTTATATAATGTGTTACACAAAACACATTATATAAGATATCCACATCTATCTGTTTTGTTACAATAAATTAACTGTCGCTGTATTAGCAATATACTGTGCACAATAAAATCCATAAGAATTTAGAAGAATGTTAAAGATATTTAGATTAAATTATTATTATAAAAATACTAACTATTATTATAAAAATAATCGTTTGTTATTATCATGAATTTATTATATATTCGATTATATAATTTCGATTATATAATAAAATAAATTATATTGAACATATTCGACAATATATATTTTTGTCGATATGCTTACAAATTTTTATATTCTATATAAAATTTAAATAATATGCTACGAATATTTTAAGAATTAATTTTATATCAAATTATAATAAATCAAGCAAATGAAATTCAATTATTATTGCAAAAAGTAGGATAGCATATTTATTTCTTAATTTATTAAAATTATGCAATTATAGTTCTCTCAAGATATAAATGTCTTAAAGTAAGAAATAAGTTGTTAATTAGTCTCAAACAATATATACATAATAAATATACAATATACATTTAGAATTATTTAAATTTTATATCTATTTGAAAAATATATTGAAAGAAAAAAATATCGTACGCAAATTTGCAGTTGTTATCTCAAAATATAATCCTATTATAATTGTATAAAATAAATTACGATTATTATAATTATTATAAAATATATTACAATTCATATAAAATACTTTAATTATGTAGTCAGTATAGATCCTATAATAAATTATATATCCTGAAAATATTTATAAAATAAACAGAAAAGGTCTCTAAATTTCTATTAAATAACTATAGAATGTATTCCAAAATTAATTCTTTAACAGTTTTTCATTTCAATTATTTAAATATATCTTAAAATTGACACAGCTAAATTTTGAAAATGAATTCGCGTTCAGCAAGAAAAAATACATCGAAAATGACTATTCACACATTAATAAAAGAAAAAATCAAATTCTGTCGGACAGTATGTCCATGAGAAAAGAGTTATTTCTAAATTGCTAATTGCTATCTCGAAAACATAAAATCATATCGAAACAAAGCAAAATCCATTTTAAAACTAAAAGTTGACTTTCGTGTTATTAGCGAAATTTAAA